AGGAGCTCCTGAACACGGAGTTTCCCTGCGTTGAAGACGCAGAGGGGGAGGACCCCGGTGAGGGCACATGGCGAAACGTCGAAAAGGTCATCAAAGGGCACTTCGGACCCTACGTGATCGTACGGCGAAACAAGATGAAGGTACGTCNGCGAAACAAGATGAAGGTACGTGAAGGTGCAGCTAGAAGTTTTCATCCCTCACTAACTGTGATCGGTGATCCACAGCAGGCTGGAAACGCTTGGTTAGACCCTTCGCCCTTCTGCGCGCACTGGTGGCTCGTCAACTGCCAGCTGAACAAGGGCATACGCACCTGGTGCGTGTACCCACCGAGGAAACTTGTCATGTTCGCGTACCTCCTACAACGTTAGATTCCACGCCGTAGATTCCATCCCACCATCATTGACACATGGAAACCCGTGCCGCTGCCCTCTTGCCGTCTTCCCAGGTTTTCGCTGGACCAGCCGACGGAGTTCGGAAGAACAGGTGGAGACGCGTGGTGTTCGAGTGCGAGCAAGGTGGTAAACCGGACACCAAGCCGGGAACGACCAACACNCCCTCTTGCCGTCTTCCCAGGTTTTCGCTGGACCAGGCGACGGAGTTCGGAAGAACAGGTGGAGACGCGTGGTGTTCGAGTGCGAGCAAAGTGGTAAACCGGACACCAAGCCGAGAACGACCAACAAGAAGACAACATCGAAGAAGGTGCTGTTCGGTAGTGATTCGATGTTGAGCAGAGCTGGCGCCGATGCTGTTATGTTTGTTCCAGGCCTGTTCGCTCGCTAATGACCGGGAAAAAATCGTGGGTGAACCCGACAACTGCAACCAACCGAAGAAGGCACCTGATGAAGAATTCCCACAATGGTCGCAGACTATACTTCGTGTACATAAAGAATATTTCATATTTCGTACANACTAACCGAAGAAGGCACCTGATGAAGAATTCCCACAATGGCCGCAGACTATACTTCGTGTACATCAAGAATATTTCATATTTCATACATATGTGTTAATGTTCCGTTTTGATGCGTTGTTTGATACATGCCATTGGAATGAAACGCCCCGGCGCGCCCGTATGTCCACCCCGTAAGCACTGTGTTTGCTCTGGAATCCCTACATTCTACAATTCTTCAGGCACTCAAGGCACGCGTCTTTTTCTCAAGATCCTGTTTTCCTTTGCGGTGGTTTTACGGGAGACGGTGTTTATGCGCTGTCCTTTCAAGTTATTTTCGCTGTCTCTCCTTTTCGTCGGCAAAGCACGTCGAAAAGGCGTGCTGTGGTTGCACACTTATNGTATGTCCACCCCGTAAGCACTGTGTTTGCTCTGGAATCCCTACATTCTACAATTCTTCAGGCACTCAAGGCACGCGTCTTTTTCTCAAGGTCCTGTTTTCCTTTGCGGTGGTTTTACGGGAGACGGTGTTTATGCGCTGTCCTTTCAAGTTGTTTTCGCTGTCTCTCCTTTTCGTCGGCAAAGCACATCGAAAAAGCGTGCTGTGGTTGCACACTTGAATCGCTTTAGTACAATGAGTGTGTGTCGGGGTGATGGAAGACAACCGTCTGTGCTGTCGTCTTCCTCTGTATCACCCCGAAAAGGCTGTAAACGTGTATTCACGCTCAAGCTCCCATGTGCGTGTCTCGGCACAATGGTGTTGGTTCGCGTAAAAAACAAACGACGATGCCCGC